ACTCTTCCTGCCTTCTGAATGCACAAATGTTTTATTTTTGTTATTTTTTATGTCAGAGAACACTCGCACACTTATAAGAGAGAGAGAAGGAGGGAGAGAGAGAGACACACACACCTTTGATAGGGTCTTGTCATATGACAAGGTCTTGTCACAGGTTCTGTGCCCCGCCACAATCCTCTATCCCCAGCTCTCCGTCTGGTCAGGACCTTGGACACGTGTGTGCACCCAGCTTGTTTCCAGGCCAACCCAGGCATCTGAATCCATAAGTTGGCCGTGTGAATTCCAGTCTTGTAGGGCACAGCATTGCTGGACCAAATATTTTAGTTTATAACCTGGGATTTCCTGTAGCCTCTGCAGACTTCTTTTGCTGGCTCTCTGTAGACAGCTGTATGTCTTCAGCATGTATATTCAGCGGCACATTATTAACATGACCCTGCTGAAGGAAGCCATGTCTGCTTTCATTTAAATAGGACGGATTGAACCTGCAGCAAACTTTATAGAACTCATTTGACTCATGATGATGAAAATAGTAATAGTTAATAATAACAGCCTACTGTATAAATGTCTAGTATGTTCTGGGCATTGTATCAGGAATCTTACACACACTACATCATGTAGCAAATCTGCAATGGTACAGTGGGGCAGTAGGGACATGCATGGGTGGCAAAAATTGACCAGAGACAGAAATGTGAACCTGAGCAGAAATTAAGTTTATTAGAGCTCAGAGCACAGGTGAGAGTGCCCTGGGTGAGACCTGAGTAGGGTCACCATGGGTTTGGGCCTTTTAGTGGGGAAGGTCTTCTTCTTCACCTTCTTTTTTTTTTTTTTTTTAGGTTTTTGCCATAAGGTATGTGCACTTGCTAGAGAGAGACAGAGAGAGGGGAAGTGAGAAATCACACACATACATCCCCAGGGTGGACGGCCATACCATAATCCCTTCTCCTCCAATCTCTTCTCAAGATTTTGGGCACATGCACATGCACCTAATGTGATTTTCAAGATGCTGGGTCCGGGGCTTGAACCACAGTCGGCCATTTGGGAGTCTAGCACTTTAACCACCATGTCATCTACTGGTTTCAGAAGGTCTTCTTTTTATAGTCTCAATTATAGGGGCAGGATACAAATAAACTCTGCAGGCTCCTTCAGGAACGCGGAGTGTCTATCGGCCCTGGGTGATTGCCCGAGGTAGCACCAGATGGGGTCAGAAACATCTCTTTTCCCTGTTGTAAAAGCTTATGGTGGAATGGGGGAGGCTATCTTGGGCCCTTTACCCAAGCAAGTTTGCTCATGTTCTTGGGTAAGGCTCATCTTAGGCTCTCTTTTTTAATCCTTGCTTGCCTATTTTCTTATGAACCCACCACAAAACCCGACGTCATTATTATCAGGACTGGGCCCTAATATTTGATAAACTCAAGCCAAGAAGCATAAATATAGCCCTTCCCCTCTCCAGGCATACCTCCTGACACCCCACTTCCTCACGTGTCCAAGCTTTGTCCACATACCAGTCTGCTCCAGTCCCAGCTAGCCTGGATGACAGGCATGCGTATGCACCTAGCGTGCTTAGGGAGGCCCAGGGACACTAACCCAGGACCTTTCCATGTGGATCCAGCCACACCACAGCTGGGCCGCTGCCTGTCCCTCTTTTCACATTTTTAAAAGCTTTTTATAAGTACTGTTTACATTTTTTTCTTTTTAATGGCAGAGTGCACGTGCATGCACATGAAAAAGAGTGAGAGAGAGTAACCCCCAGTGAAGCCTGGTCATGCTGCAATCCTTTATCTCCAGTTCTCCATCTCATCAGGGTCCCGGGCATGCGTGTGCATGTGCATGCACCTAGCATGTTTTTCAAGCTGATAGAGCCAGGACTGGTACCTTGGTCAGCCTTGTGGCCTCTGGCTTCGTCTGCATAGCTAACTACTGTATTGTGTTGACCAGCACTCTTTTTACTTTCTCCACGGTATCCTTTAATGCATAAAAGCTTTAAATTCTAATGAAGTCCAATTGGTTATTTTCTTTTGTTGCATTGCTTGTGATGTCATATTTAAGTAATCCTTGCCTAATATTAGGTCACAACAATTTATGCTTGTTTTCTCCTAAAAGTTTTATAGGTAAAGTTCTTACATCTAGGCTTTTACTTCATTTTGAGGTAAATTTTACGTATGATGTGAGACAGGGATTCAGCTTTATTCTTTTTTTTTTTTCTTTTTTTAAGTTTATTTGTTTCGTGAATTTAAGAGAAAGAGCAAGATAGGCAGGCATTTCCAACGGAGTCTTCACATGTGATCCAGCCCCAGCCTCAGGCAGCCTGGATTATGGCTGTGTCTATGTTAGCTCAGCGTGTATAGAAAGGCTCCGGGATGCAGACCTGGGGACCTGTTCTTGTGGGTCCTGTGTCATGGGGTGTTACATTACTGCTGAGTCGTTGCCTGGCTTCTGGCTTCGTTCTTGTGCATGTGGACATCCTTGTGCGTAATAAATGTACTAGCACCATTTATTGAAGACTTCATTATTTCCCCCATTGAACGCTCATGCCACTTTGGTCTAAAATAAGCTAAATGTTGACACGTGGGACTGCTTCTGGACTCTCAGTTCTAGCCCATTGTTCTTATGTTCATCCTTATGCTGGTACCTCCCTGTGCGGATTACAGTGGCTCATGGTATGTTTTGATCGTGAAGTGGAAATACGACTTTTGTTCTTTTTCCATATTGTTCCAGCTATTCTGAGTCCCTTGAAACTCCATATGCATTTTGGAATCTGCTTATCAATTTCTACAAAGAAATAGAGCATTATTTTGCTTATATAAATTTGAAAGAGCAGCTAACATTCTGGGAAAGCAGCTCTACAATACTGGACAGAAATCACGAGATGGTCAGAATAGCAAATATTAATACTTCAGTATACATAATCAAGTCTTTGATACTTCTGTCTCCATAAAAATGTATTTATTGAAATAAAAAATAAAGGTGACCATATAATGATGTTGAATTTGAGGGGACACTTAGAATATTTTAACTTTTTAAAAAAGAATTATTTATTTAATTTTATTATTTATTTATTTATTATTATTATTTTATTTGGAGAGGTTTTTGCTTTAGGGCATGTGCGCTCACCAGAAAGACAGAGAGACAGAAAGTGAGAAATCATCCCCCCCAGGGGGATGGCCATGCTGCAATCCCTTCTCCTCCATTCTCCTCTTGGGATCCTGGACATGCATGCATACGCGCCCAGCATGAGTTTAAGCTACTGGGTCTGGGACTTGAACTATGATCTACTACATGAGAGTCCAGTGACATAGCCATTATACCAACTGCTGGTCCCTAATTATTATTTTTAAATTTGACCAGAGAAAGACAAAGAGAGAGAGAAAGGGAGAAAGCAAGCTACCAGATCTGGGACACAAACCAGTCTGCCATGTGGGAATCCAGTGCCTTAACCACCACCAGGCGACCTGCAGGCCCTTTTTTTTTTTTTTTTTTTTTTAGTTTTTGCTATAAGGTGCATATGCTTGCCACTGAGAAATCATTCCCTATAGGCGATGGCCATGCCACAATCCCTTCTCCTTCATTCTCCTCTTGGAATTTTGGGGACCTATGCACACGCGCCCTTCATATTTTTCTTATCTTTTTAAAATTTATTTTTTGTATATCTTATATATTTTACTTCTTTTTTCCCCTCTTGACTCCCTCCCTCTCACCTTCTGCCATTTCCCGCCCTCCTCCCACACTGTCTCTGGTATCCCCCATGCTCTCCATGCTTTCATACTGTCAAATAGTTTAGTTCCCGCCATAGAGTGCAGACATTTGGTATATATTAATTGGGACATACAGTGCCTCTTTTTCATAGTTTGACTTTCTGTGCTCAGCAGTAAATCTTCCGTATTTGTCCATTTTCTATCAAATGCCACAGTCTCATTGTTTTTTTATGGCTGAGTAGTTTTCCACAATGTGTATGTACCACACTTTTTCAGTCCATTCATCTGTTTATAGACATTTGGGTTGGTTCCATATCTTAGCTATTGTGAATAATGCTACATAAACATGGATTAGCAAATGGTTTTCTGACCAAGTGCCTTCCTAACCTTTGGGTAGAAACCGAGGAGCGGACCTTCATGTTTTCCAAGTCTCTGGGTCTGGGTTGCAAACTGAGAAGGTGGCCATGGGAGATCGAGAGCCTTAACCACTGTGCCACCTGCTGACCATATAATAACTTTTATATTTACATTTTGTATAATAATTCGAAATTAACAAGGTATGGTCACAATATCTTTCCATCTTTTTATTATAATTATCCAAAGATTTAGTAAATGAGGAATCCATTGTTATTTATAGTTTTCAATAAGGTAATTTAGGCACAGAAATGGTAAGCAGTGGCTTGCTCAAAGAGATAAGGAAGGTAATTGGCCATCTTCAAGGGCTGAAGCTGAAGGGTTTTCTGGGATGGAAGAATTTTAATGCCAGAACTAGGAGAATCTCTGGAAAACTGGCTGAGTTGGTCACTTTACTAGTATGTAGCAGAGACAGGATAAGAAACCAGCTATTTCACTCTTCGTTTAACATTTTTCTTACCAGATAATCTAATCAATCAGGCATGGCTTTCTCTGCTTTGAAAATTCTACTTAAAGATCTTGTGTTCATACTTCTTTTCCTGACTAATTTTATCTGACACTTCAGCTGCCCTTAATCTCTCCAGAAATCATTTGTCTTTGGTGTCCTAGCCACAGCTAGTTTTATGGTTGTTTTTTTTTTTTTTTTCCCTTTCCATGGATTCTAGTAGTCACCCATCTTTCTTCTTTCCTTCAGGCTGTAGGTCATGGAAGGCAGAAACAGTCAGGTTTCTTTCCTTCTCTGACAGTATGGACAGACCATAAATACCATTGCTTGACCAATAGAAATTAATTGGGCATTCAAAACACATTTCAGGGTCAGATAAGTAGTCTGGGCCACCGTTTATTAGAATTCAGTTGTTACTTAAAGATAAGCAAGAGCCGCTTTGTGCCAGGAACACAATGTGTGTATTTATTGTGTTTCTACACGGATCATAAGAAGAAAAACACAGACTAGTACAAGTCAATGGCCCGTCTCAGAGAGCCAACTTTGGCATCTATGGCCCCCCAGTCGTGGTACCGCCGGTAGTCCCCCGGCCTCAGCAGGTATTGCCGCCCCCGGTAGTTGGGCAGCTCGTACAAGACCCAGCAGCCCTCCAGCACGTGAAGGGAGTAGATCTCATGGAGACGGAAGCGATCATGGATGCAGGAGCAGTCTTCAGTGAGCTCAGACACGAGGCCTCGGTAGTCATCCCTCTCGTACAGTCTTATCCTGTGAGAGGAAGTCTGTTGTGACAATAAATAGAAGAAAAATGAACGGTGAGCATCCTTGATAAATAAAAGTGACACAACCAGCCTGAACTTCATGAAACATGGCTTTCAAACCATCCTGTAAAATGCTTCTTCTCAAGATAAAGCTGACCTGATTAGTGAACTGGAGATTTTGTGGGAAAAATTAAGCATGGAAATACGGGGAATAAAAGTGTGTCCTTTGGGCTCAGCAGCGGTGGTGTAGCAGTAGCATGCTTCTCTGCAGGGTTGGAAGCCGTATGGGAGATCAGGGTTCATTCCCTGGTCGACTGGTACACATGCAGCACGTACGCACGAGACTATGACCCTGGCTAGTTGGAAAGGCTGAGGGCTGGAGTCACAGCGTAAGATGCTGTTGAGGCTGCTTATCTCACAATCTCTGCCTTTCTTTGTCTCTCTTGAAAAAAGTTTTAGGAAGTGTTTTCTCAGGACCAGCAGATGGTGTAATGGGTTATATGTCGCTGGACTCCCTCATAGTCAACCCTGGTTTGAGTCCTAGACCTGGTGGTTTGAAACTCACACCAGGTACATGTGTGTGTGTGTGCGCCCAAGATCCTGAGAGGACAGTGGAGAAGAAGGGATTGTGGCATGGTCTTCCCTCCTGGAAATTAATTTCTCTTTTACTGTCTCTCTGGCGAGCATGCACAACCCTATAGCAAAAGTTTCTCTAAAAAAAAAAAAAAAGTATTTTCTTGGAAAGCAGCCATCTGCCACAACCATAGTGAGTCTGCAGAAGTTCCGTTTCTATCATGACTTCATAAGGAGTCCTGTCAAGCTTATTTTGAAGTAATGTTTGGCACTCATAATTTACAACAATTCATTTTTACTCTGAGTCTATGTCTTTTCAAATGACATTTTCCCAAGTCATTTATATTATTTGAGTTTTGGGTTTTATTACTCCCAAAGAAATGTCTATTATATTTATATTTATTTGTGCATCTGTTATTTTTTTCTGGCCTAAATTTGGCTTTAATTCCTGGATCCCCTTTTCATATGACATAATTTGGTGCCACAAGGAAACACCAAAAAATGACACATGTTCCACGTGATTAGAACACAAGAAGCAGCACCTTGGTAAGGACCATATTCCATAAAATTCTAACCATTAATCTTCTCTGATTCTTGTAAAAAAAAAAAAAAAAACTAGTTGATTAACGACTCCTGAAAAATATAAAGCTACTTACATGTCAAAACATTTTATTCTAGGTTGTAGAACAATATGTCATAAAAGGTGTTAAAATAAATAAATCACCAACAGTCAGAATACATTATGTCTATTTTGTCCTCCCATAGTTAGTTTATCTCTAAAAATAAAGAATTATAGGGACCAGCAGATGGCATGCTGGTTAAGGCGCCAGACTCCCACATGGCTGACTACAGTTCAAGTCCTAGACTTGTAGGTTTACTTTCTCACTTTTCCTCTCTCTCTCTCTCTCTGGTCAAATTAAAAATAAATTAATTAATTAAATGAAATAAATAATTCTTTTTTAAAAAAAGAATTACGTATATACAGCTGTTTTTTCTATACTGGACAAAATTATTTTATTATTCAGAAACGAAGGATCACTGAGATGCTACCAAGTTTAATTTTAAAGGCAATTTTTCATGCTCTAAAACAATAGTGCTGTCCCTAAGTAAGAAAAACATTATTGTTTGTTCTTCTTATCCTGGTGTTTGAGTCAAGCCTTTCTATCCATGTCATGAACACTAATTCAGAGTTGGAACAAACTGACTTTCTAAACAGGAATTGATCACTGACACTCTCACGTCAGCCAGGTTGAAGCAAGACTCACATAAGGAATTGAACGGCAGGAGCGGATGGAGTCACTGAGGCCCATCCACTGCTGGTAGTCCGAGTAGTCCCCGCGCCTCAGGAAGTACTGGTGGCCCTGGTAGTTGGGGCGCTCATAGAGCATCCAGCAGCCCGGATGGAGTTGCAGCGGCTGAAGTAGTTCTGCAGGTTGGGGCAGTCGCTGCTGCATTCGTAGCAGCGGCCCTGGAAGCCCCGGTCCTCGTAGAAGATGATCTGTAGTGGAAAACAAGGTGATGGCAGTCAGCTGGCAGGGACGTCCCCACATCCAGTTGACACTCAATAGACATGGTACGGCACCTCGATTCGCTCACCTTTCCCATGGTTATTGACAGCGGGTGATCAGTGTCCAGTGTGCCGGGACAAGAGTGGCAGCTGGTATATATAGCAGGACTGCTGCTGTGTTGGCAAGAACAACACAAAAGGAACCTGGGGGTAGTGCGTAAGGGGATTTCTGTGATCATGGGGCAGGGGGCTTTCATTCTCTCTGGCATTTTCGAGTTGTCCTTACTAGCTCCAGTGAAAGGCATTGAAATCAGCAGAGCCATTATGACCTTAGAGACAAAGGGCGCACTTCTCATCCTATGCAGCTCGCTGGAAATACATTACATGCCCAGCAGTTTGCAGTGTTTGCCTATGGAAACTGCTGAGATGGAAGTTGGTGGTTCCATGAGGTAGCTCATGAGAATCATATGAGTCCCAGGAGGACTTGGTGTGCAAGGGGCAATTAAAAAATCCCAAATAAAAATCTTTCAATTAAAAGACAGCTATATCTCTTAAATTACTTCATCAGTATGACAGGGTTTAGACAAAACATACTTTGCATAGGTTTCGATAGGAAAGAAAAGATAAGAACCGTGCATACACAAAATGTCAGTTGTGGTTATCGATGAATGGCAAGACCACGGGTCCTTGTTTTATGTTTTTATTTTTTCTTTTTGCTGCATTTTATTTCCTTTATTTTCTGTTATATTAGGTTGTCGGAAAAGTCATGACATATTTGCATAGAAAAACAGAAAAAATGTCATGACTTTTCCAACAACCTAGTAAATATACATACATGAGATGAAAAAATAGTAAAATTAATTTTTCAGTGTATGACTTTGAGTTGATATGCAAAGCAGTAAGTTTATGCAAAGTAGTAAATTTCAAAAGTAGATATATTTCTCTTGAGATTAAATACTCCTCCTTGAGCTAGAAATAGAGATCTCCTGAGAGTACATGAGACACTTAAAGAGTAGAAAGTACACAGGATCCTTCTGCTCCCTTCCTCCTGCCACCTTTCTAGGACTGCTTTTTGTTTTTTAAAAGTAGCATTGTGATTTGCCTGTTTTCCCTCTCAAAAGTGTCATTGTCTCATGGAATCCATGTGACTGCCTGAAGAGCTTTCTCCATTGCTGCAAGCGGAAGCACTCTGCAGAAGTGCAGGGGTTGAGGATCACTCCAAACCCCAGATCATCTGTTGTCATCCCATATGTATATGGGAAAATGAAATTGAGCACCTTTATGCTTTGACCCATGGAAGGGCTCTAGGGGTATTCGACCGTAGCTAGCGATATGTTCATAATACAAATGTGCAGCTGTTTATAGGATAGACAGCAACAGCCACAGAGATGTTCTGTTACAACTAACAGAGCTAGACAAAGAGAGCCGGACAGAGTCCTGTAAAATTAGACACCTGGCGGTGTATGCAGGACTATAGGTCGCTGATGCCTGCCTCCTTCTGCTGCAGGTCTACTAGTAGATCTCAATTATGATCGTAATCCAATCCAGTGTGGAAGAGGCTGCCCTGGACTCCTAGCCACAACCTCACATAAGAATACACCACTGTTTCAGTAGCAATCAACAAACCCTGCACATTTTGCACACTCTAATGAAAACTTCTGCAGAAGAAGGCACACCCAAGTGTAAACCATACTGACATTTATTTGATCAAGTTGTTATTACCTACATGGATGGGCTAAGTCAAGTGCTTCATCAGCACTTTGGAAAGGTACTGAAAAACTAGATACTTTTCTTTGCCTAGTAGTCTAAAAAGGTTTTTCTTATTTTTAAAAATTAATTTTATTTATTCATTCATTTATTTTAATTTGACCAGAGAGAGTCACGGGGAGGTGGGGTGGGGAGTGAGAAAGCAAGTCACCAGGTCCGGGACTCAAACCATGTTTGGCCATGTGGAAGTGTCCAGCACCTCAACCACCATGTTTCCTGCTGGTCCTCAAAGATTTTTCTCATTTAAAAAAAATGCTTTGTTAAGGGCTGGCAGGTGGCATGGTGGTTGAGGTGCTGGACTCTCACATGGCCAACCGCAGTTTGAGTCTTGAGCCTGGCACCCTGCTTTCTCACTTTCCTTTTCTCTCTCTGGTCAAATTAAAAATAATAATAATGTGACCAGCAAATTGCATAATGGTTATATCACTGGACTCCCACATGGCTGACCGTGGTTCGAGTCCTGGACCCAAGACTTGAAACTCAAGCCAGGCACGTATACGTGTGTGCCCAAAATCCCAAGAGGAAAATGGAGGAGAAGGGATTGTGGCATGGCCATCCCCTCTAGGGGCGCTGATTTCTCACTTTTGATCTCTCTGTCTCTCTGTGTCTCTCTAGTAAGTGCATGCAGCCTATAGCAAAAATCTCTCTAAAATAATAATAAATAAAATTAAATAATCATTTAAAAATATATTTTGTTAAAACAATTTATTTATTTATTTATTTATTTTGTATACAAGAACAGGGTAAAGGCAATCATGACAGATTAATTTTATTTGGATTAAAAATTTGGAAAACTGCCTCCCATTCACCACGATGCAGCATCTGGTGCTACACATTTTTGAATATGCTACAAAACCAGCCTGCTATGACTCAGAAATACCATGTACTAGGAATGTTCCAGAAGTCTGTCGGTCACAATGAGCATAAGAAACATTCTTTTTTTGTTGTTTTTAAATCAAACTGTAGCCATGTAATATGCTTCTAAAGGAAGAAAGCTCAACACCAAAAATAACACTTCAGTGAGTTTCGTGTCAAAAGCTAACTGGAGAGAGGAAGGTGCTGGCAAAACTGCAGTTGAAAATGATGCTTCTTGTCCACCTCAGGAAGCTCTATTAGGAAGTTCCATGGGACAATTTCAAGTTTCTAAGTGGCCTGCAGAATAAAAATATGTTTTTGGTATTAAACACACAACTTAACACAGATACAGACATTAGTTCTCCATGTATAGGAAGTTAAGATAGAATATCAGATACTGACAAAAATGGATTATGTAAATGTAGATATAAGAATTTTTCTGGAGGGGTCAGCAAGTGGCATGGTGGTTAAAGCACTGGACTCCCACATGGCCAACCATGGCTCGAGTCCTGGACCTGTTGGCTTGCTTTTTCACTTTTCCTCTCTCTCTGGTTAAAAAAAAAAAAAAAAATGATGATAAATAAAATGAAATAAACAATTATTTTTTAAAAAGGAATTTTTGTGGAACTACTCTGATAGATTCGGAAATTGAATAATTTCTCAACTAAATGTAATATATGATCCCACAATGGATCTGGTACAGAAGGAAAAAAAAATGCTTTAAAAAGGGCTATATTGGGGGAACCAGCAGTTAGCGTAATGGCTATGTCACTGGACTCCCACGTAGTCGACCGCGGTTCGCGTGCCGGACCCGGTGGCTTAAAACTCACACCGGGCGTGTGTGCGTGCATGCCCAAGATCCAGAGAGGAGAATGGAGGAGAAGGGATTGCGGCATGACCATCCCCCCTGGGGGGTGATTTCTCGCTTTCTGTCTCTCTGTCTTTCTCTGTCTGTCTGGCGAGTGCACGCGCCCTACAGTGAAAACTTCTCCAAAGGAAAAAACAAAGGGCTATATTGGGTCAAATGACAAAACCAGCATATGGACTGTAGATTAGATCAAAGGTCAGGTGTTCCGAAGTTGATAATTCTACTGTGGTTATTTAAGAGAATGACTTTGTTCTTAGGAAAAACAAGCTGAAGTATAAAGGGGGAAAGTGATGAGGTATACATAATCTCTAATGGCTTAGAAAAAAATTACTTGTCAATATACAGAGAGCGAGAGAACGTGATAGAGAGAAACAGAGAGAAAATGATAAAACGAATAGAACAAAACTTAACAACTGGTGGAGCCAGGTGGGAGCACAGTGGTAAAATGTGATGCTCTGTGAGGCTGGCCACGTGGTAAGGCTTAGCATCCAGAGATCTTGCTGAATACATTGGGCACCCCTGTGCCCCTGATCTGGGGCTGTCTGGAGCTGGGAGTGAATCATGGCATTAAGACCCAGTGGGGGCGGCTGGCAGGTGGCATGGTAGGTAAGATGCTGGGCTCCCACACGACTGACCACAGTTTGAGTCTCTAAGCTGGCGGCTTGCTTTCTCACTCTCCTTCCCCACACCCTGCCCCAATCAAATGAAAAGATAGTAATAATAATGATAAGTAAAATTAAATAAATAATTCTTAAAAAAAAAAAAAGACCCTGTTGGGGATGCTGTCTCTATCTCTGTGTCTCTGTTTCTCTTGCTCATGAAATAAATAAATTTAAAGCACACAAAACAATGAAATATTGACAATTGGTGTATCTAGGTAAAAGGAATTTGAGGGTTCTTCATCATTATTTTGCATTATTATTTCTAAGCTTGAAATTATTTTCAAATTAAAAACAAACAAGAAAATCAATACAATTTTTACTGTTTGTGGCCAACTCTATCCAAAACAAATTACTTTTTCTGGTAGCTTAGCAGTTACATATTACGATTGTAGTTTATTATTTTGTGTTTCTGATATATTGATTTGAATGTTAACTTAAATTGCCTTCTATGTCAGGTTTCCTTCCATCCATGATACTGTGAGTCCTTCGGGAGTGGTAATAAAAGGAGTTGGTCCTGGTGCTTTTCTAAGCCCTTGCACATATTTGTATACTGACTCATATCGTCCTTGTAACAACCCTTGAAGGGGCCAGCAGGTGGCATGGGTGGTTAGGAAGCTGGACTCTCACATGGTCAACCACAGTTTGAGTCCCAGACCTGGCGAGTTGCATTCTCTCTCTCCCTCTCTCTCTGTGTATGTCTCTCTCTGATGAGCTCATGTGCCCTATAGGAAATGAAAATAATTATAATGATAAATAAATTTAAATAAATCATTCTTTATTTTAAAAAGCCTTATTAAGTAGTTTCTCTTACAATTTTCTTTTTATAGTTGAGGAACGGAAGCAGAGAGAGATCAGTAACTCACCCAAGTTACTAAGTGGGGAGCTCTTTGATATTGGTCCTGTCTGTTCCAAATTCATTTCCTAGTAACGTGCCCAATACTGGCACCTTTCTAGGAAATTGTGCTGCTCAGATCAATTTTGACTAACGAATGAGCCATTAAAACCAATATAATAAAAAGAAATGATTAAAACTGTTTACCACAATATTTAGATTTTTAAAATATATGACTTCTCTCTCTTCATGAGGAAATTCAGTGGCTAGAAAGCAATAGGAAATTAGGAATAAGGCATTATTTTATCTTGAGGTTAAATAAAAAGTTGTCTTTGAGCCAAAAGATATGATACAATACCCACAAGCTATGAAAGAGAAAACTACAGAACCTAAGTTTATCTAGTAAAGACTTTTTCAGACAAGAACTGTGAAAGTGTATTTTCATTCATTTAATTAAAGTTTTACTTCTTTAGCATAGCAGAAATTCTAACAAACCAATGAGACACACAGATATTTATATGGATGTGTGTAGTAAATAGTGATTATCAAAAGAAATATTCACTGGTTATTTCTCAGGAGTAGGAAAGGGGTGTGCGGAAGAGGAAGTTCTTATGCTTTTCACTCTATTTTCTATATGATTTGAGAACTTTGCTTATGAGCATGTCTTGCTGTTATGCTTTTTAAAATGACTTTAAATAATATACTACCCAAGAGTTGGAACAAAATGCTTAAGGTACACAAATAATAAAGTGTAAAAGAAAAAATATAAATGGATTTTTAAAATTTGATTATCAAAGGCCTTTATGGAAGAGATCTTCTCAGGATCTGCTTCTACTGCAAAATGGGCACTGTTCTTCAATATTTCAGAACTGGGAAGCAACAGCTAGCATCTAGAGCTGGCTGGTCCCTAAAAGGAGCCCCTAGTTTTAATCGGTATAGTAGGGCACAGTGTTTTCAGAGTAGTCACCTAAGGGTCTTTCACTTACTTCCAATTTACTCATCAACAATAGCTACCAAACTTTCATGGCCTTCAAAAAAATCACTTCATATTCAGGTGGAAAATAATAAAGAAATAAAAGACCTATGTCCACCAAGAAGCCAATAATCTTCAGTGATTGTGGGGAAAAAAACCATATAGAATAAAATTATATTTTCAAAATAACACATAATGAATCATCTTTTTATTTTATTTTAGTTTAGTTTAGTTTTTTTTTTTCTAGAGACAGGTGCACTCGTTGGAGAGAAAGTGAGAAATCGCCTCCCAGGGGGATGGCCACACCACAAACCCTTCTCTTCCATTCTCTTCTTGGGATTTAGGGCATGCATGCACATGTACTCAGTATGTTTTTCAGGCCATCAGATCCAGGTCTTGAACTCACAGAGTTGGCCATGTGAGATCTGGCACCTTGACCGCCACATCACCTGCTGGCCCCATGAGTAATCTTTAGAGCAAGTTTTTATTACATAAAGTCCATAGATGAGTCTTAATGGACTACGAAACCCTACTTCAGAGATCTCTGTTTTTCATGATTAACTTTGAAGTCTGATTATCTTTGTGAGGATGTGTGTATGTGTGTGCACATGTGCCATGCATGTGTGTGCACATGAGCTTTGTATATATTGGTGTTCATCTGTATTTCTGGAGTTGTAATTGTTATTCAATTGTTTCGTCTTGCTTTCTAAACCTAGCTATCTCTGAAATTGAAAACAAAGAACCAAAAACGGGGGACCAGTAGGTGGCATGGTGGTTAAATCACTGAACACTCCTACATGACTGACCACGGTTCAAGTCCCAGACCTTGTGGCTTCCTTTTCACTTTCTCTCTCTCTCTCTTTCTGTGTTTCTCTCTGGTCAAATTAAAATAAATGAATAAATAAATAAAAATAAATAAATAATTTTTAAAATACGCATCTTCAAAAAATTCTTCAAAAACAAAGATATGGTTCTGGAAAGTCTATATCCTCAAATCTCAGTTACAGAAAAATAGCTTTGGAAGAAAACACAATATGGTGATTATTTCTCAATGGTACAATTGTTCATTATTAGGATAACACTTACTAAAATGCTGATATGACCGAAGAATTCAGGCAGTCCAAAATGTGGATGCTATGGTAAATTCACATTTCTTTTTTTTTTTTTTTTTTTGCAGAGGTTTTTGCTATAGGGCGCATGAGCTCACCAGAAAAGCAGAGAGACGGAAAGTGGAAGTCACCCGCCCCCCAGGAGGGATGGCCACTCCACAATCCCTTCTTCATTCTCCTCTTGGGATCTCGAGCACACATGCACATGTGCCCAGAGTGAGTGTAAGCCACAGGGTCCAGAACTTGATCTGCGGTCACCTACATAGGAGTCCAGCGACATAGCCATTACATCAACTGCTGGTCTCAATAAGTTCACATTTCTAATCAATAAATAGTTTGCCTCTGAATCCTGAATAAATTCTGTGCCCTCTGTAACCCTGTCTATTCAGAAATTCATGTTAAAAAAAATGCACGGTATAGAAACCAAACTACTGGATCATCAGAAAAGTCATGACACATTTTTGCCTGGAAAAATATATCATGTCTCTTTCAACAACCCAATAAATTAAAAGGAATTCCAATGTTCACTTGTATTTTTTGAAGCAAACCCAGTGTCTAACTCAGTGTATTAATTTGTGAAATTCCCTTCTCCTTTTTCCACCTTATAACTCTCTAGCTAATCCAAGGTCTCTCACTCTCACCCCTAAAACGTCCCAAACACCTAGCCTAAACCAACTTCCTGATTTTCTCCCCTTTCAGCTTGGTATGTTGACCAGCTTGGTCTCTCAGACTTCTTTTTAAGTTTTCTTTTCACTTTGCACATTACTATGGAGAGCCCAGAGCTGGAAGAACAAAGACGCCCCTTCCCTTTGTCCTTTCTCTCTTGCCCTTTCCATCTTTGACCATTCTCTGAGTTCTAGAACAAAAATTTGGAATTGGATGAACAGAGCAGGAGCAGGAGAGATGCCAAGCAAGAAAAGATAAAATTCCCGTTAGTGAAAAAAGGACCAAGAAGGGGAACATTTGGGACATAGGATCAGTATAAGCTTTCTTGCCAACTCACTTATTCAAGTTAACAAAAAAACATTTGATTAACTTGTGAATATTTTTCAAATGCTGAAAAGATAATGATGGCAAATATTTCTGCAGAATGTATTCTGTGTTACTTTTCCTTTTCTATCTTCTTTACACGCATAATCTCAGTTCATTGCTACATCAATTTAAAGGGTTGGTACCATTATTCTTCCCATTTGCAGAGGAAAAAATTCAGGCAGAGAGGTTAAGTAGCTTGGCTGAAATCACATCACATTAAGCAGTGGGCTCTAGATTTGAACCAGAGCATCTGACTCCAAAGGCAAGACTTTCTACCGTAATACAAGAACAGCACTCCCAAGCATCAATTATCAGTTTGGTCCAGTGTTTTTTTTTGTTTTGTTTAGTTTTTGTTTTTAAGAATTGTTTGGTTAACTTTATTTATTTATTTATCTATTTAAATTTGACCAGGGAGGGTCAAAGAGAGAGGAAAAAGGAGAAAGCAAGCCACCAGGTCCGGGACTCAAACTGTGGTCAGCCATGTGGGAGTCTAGCACCCTTAACCACCTGCCGGCCCCCAGCATATGTTTTGAGACCTACTTCGTTCTTTGGCTGTATGTCTGAGGAACGTCTTGGTGATTTCCATTCTGAGGCATTTGCTTCCTTGGTGGAGCCGCTGGTGGCATTTTTATTTGCAACTCCCTTTCTTGACTTGATACCTATAGATACATGCAACAACCATGTCTGATTACAAAACTTACACACACATACACATACATACACACACATATATCCCTCATAGTTTTAGATCCTTCCCTTCTGAAGTGCTTTACTCTCATCACCAAAGAACCTGAGAAACTAGATGTCCCTGATTTGGATAGTGAAAGGAAATCACATCATACAAGTTCCTATGTCTTTTTTAATTCAACCAGACAGAAAAATCTAAATACAGTGACAAATTTGGTCTTGCCTTGTGAACCCATGTCCTTATTTCACTGAAATTTCTCTAAGCAGATGAAAGGAAATGTACTTACTTTGTTTGCGGACATATTCTGCTGCTTTAGGTGCTGTTAACATGGCGAAAGGGTGCAGGGAGAGGTGGAAAGATGGAATTCGGGGAGCCTGAAAGGAAAGCAGTTCTGCTTTTAAAAGCTGTGCATGCTCCGTGTTGGTAATATCTGCTAGTCCTTGCCTATTTTTAAAAAATTAAAAAATATTTATCTATTCAATTGTATGTATGTATTATTATTATTAAATTTGTTATAGAGCACATGTACTCCCCAGAGAGAGAGAGAAGGAAAATGAGAAAGCAAGCCGCCAGGTCTGGGACTTGAACCTCAGTAGGGCATGTGGGAGTCCAGCACCCTAACCATCACGCCACCTGCGGGCCCCACCCTTGGTCTGTTTAATCAACCAGTCTTAGATATTAATAGCAGCCCGTCTGGGTCTGGGACTCAAATCCGCATTGTCAGTTATGTGAGATCCAATCACCTTTACCACCATGCCACCTGGCTGGCCCTGGTTTCTAGTTTTGCTTATTATAATTAATGCTATTATTAACGTTCTAATGTATATCTTTCGATCAAAAGATTTACACAGTTCTGTTGGGTATCTACTAATGAAAGGAACTGGTGTATCGTAAATATATGCACATGTTTACCTTTGGAATATGTTTTCAAAAGTTCTCCAAAGTGCTAATATCAGTATTCTATTAGAAATATGAAATTTCCAGTGGTTCCACATCCTCAGCAACACCTGTTACTATCTGTATTTCAGTTTAGCTTTCTTATGGGTGTGTAGTGGTATAGAATTTAAATTTACCTATTCACTACTTAAGATGAGAACTTTTTAATATTTATTGGTCATTAGGATTTCATTGTTTGTAAAATGTTCAATTTTTAAAAAGAATTATTTAATTTTATTTATTCATTCATTTATTTTCATTTGACCAGAGAGAGACACAGAGAGAGAGAGAAAGAGAGAGAGGGAAAGTGAGAAAGCAAGCCACAAGGTCCTGGACTCGAACCATGGTCAACCATGTGGGAGTGTCCAGTGCCTTAACCACCATGCCACCTGCTGGTCCACCCCACTTTTTTTTAAAGAATTATTTTTTTAATTTTATTTATTCAAAATGTTCAATTTTTAGAACAATTTTTCTATTGAGTTTAATAGTTTTATCTTTCACATTGAATCCACAATTCATCTGGAATTTATTTTTGTTTATGGTGTCAGGTAGAGATCAAGTTATCTTCCCCCATCCCCTGCATAAGGAAGGTATTGAACTGAATCAGCACCATCTACTGCGAAGCTCATCCTTTTCTATTACACGTCCTTGTCACTTGTCATAAATGAGCTGATCAAATGGTGGTCTCTGTTTCAGACTCTCTAGTTTGTGTCACTGGTCACCTAGTCTATCCTTGCATCAATTCCATGGTAGTCCTCAATATTTGGTAGTTGCATTTCCTAGCTTTGTTTTTCTTTTTCAAGATGGCTTTGGTTCTTCTTGGCTCTTTGCATTGCCTAATGAATTTTATACTCAGCTTGTCGATGTCTGAGAAAGGAAGGAAAGGGGTGGGGAAAGAAAGAAGAAAAAAAAAAGCCTTCTGGGATTGAATTGAATCTCTAAGTTACTTTGGGGGAAACAGATTTTCAACAATAATGAATGTTTTAATCTATGAATCCTTTTATCTACTTTTTCAGGTCATCTTTATTATGTATAACACTGCAATTTTCAGTGTAGAACCGAAACACTAATTTTTCGTTAGATCTATTCCTAGATTTTTTTTACTGAACAGTAAATGATATATTTCTCTTTAAAAATAAAAAAAATATTTATTATTATTTAATTTTATATAGGGCACATATGCTCAACAGAGAGAGACAGAGAGAGAAAGAGAAAGTGAGAAAGCAGCCCAGATTCAGGACACAAACGGTGGTCAGCCATGTGGGAGTCCAGTGCTTTAACCACTACACCACCTATCGGTTCTCATAAATGACTTATTTCTACATTTTATTTGTTTCCTCTTTATTCTTGATATATAGAAATACATTAGTTTTTTTTTTAATGTCAATCTTGTATCCAAAAACTTTGCTAAACTCATATTTTTTTTTCTTTTTTAGGAGAGGCTTTTGCTATAGGGCACGTGCACTTGCCAGACAGACAGAGAGAGACAGAGAGACAGAAAGCGAGAAATCACCTCCCAGGGGGGATGGCCACGCCGCAGTCCCTTCTCCTCCATTCTCCTCTTGGGATCTTGGGCACGCACACACATGCGCCCAGCGTGAGTTTAAGCCACTGGGTCTGGGACTCGAACCATGGTCGACTACATGGGAGTCCAGCGACATAGCCATTACGCTAACTGCTGGTCTCTAAACTCATATATTATTATAATAGTTTGCAGATTTTTTTTTGAAATTTCAAGTTATCTATTATATCATCTGCAAAAAGTAACTATTTTCTTTCTTTTTATTATTTCTTTATTTCTTTCCTTATTTTATTCTATTGACTAAGATCTTCAATGTAATATTAAATAACAGCAGTAATTGTCCTCTTTCTTACCTCAAGGAGATTATTATTATTGAGCATGATATTTGTTACAGTTTTTTAAAACTTATTTTATCAGATTAAGGAAACTTCCTGTTTTTTAAAATTTCAGTAAAATATGCATAACAAAATTAGTCATCTTAATCACTGATATTAAAAAAATTAACAATCTTTTTATTTCAGAGCAGTTTTCAGTTAATAGCAACATTTTTTAAAAGAATTATTTTATTTGACTTTATTTATTTATATTTGACCAGAAAGGGATAGAGTGAGAGAGAAGGAAAGTGAGAAAGCAAGCCACCAGATCTGGGATTTGAAACTCAGTTGGCCATGTGGGAGTCCAGAGCCCTTAATCACTATGTCACTTGCCGGCCCCAGTTAATAGCAATATCGAGGCAATGGTACAGAGAGTTCTTATATAACCCGCATTCTCACATACATACAGTCTCCCCGCCACTGACATGCCCCACCACAGTGATATGTTTGTTACAATTGATGAAGCTCCTTCAAAGTTCCTCTGTTTTGTTTTGTTTTCTGGAGAGAGACAGAGAGAGGGAGAGTGAGAAACCACCTTCCAGGAAGGATGGCTAGGCCACAAATCCTTTTTCTCAATTCTCCTTTTGGGTTTGGGCATGCATGCCCAAGTACCCAGCATGATTTTGAAGCCGCTGGGTCCAGGGTTTAAACCACAGTTGGCCATGTGGGAATCCAGCACCTCAGCCATTATGCCACCTGCCAGCCTCCCAATGTTGTTTTTTAAAAATTCATAAATAAGCACTGAATTTTGTCAATTTTTTTCAAGATATTTAAAGATGATCATATTTCTCTTCTGTTAACATAGTAAATTACATTGAGAGATTGTTGGAATAAATTCATTTAGTTGTTATGTGGTGTCTTTATATATATATATATATATATAGTGGGATTGATTGGCTAATATATTGTTAAGGATTTTTCCAATTATGTTTAGGAGAGATTAATCTATATTTTCCTTCTTTTGGTGATTTTGTTTTTTGAGGTTTTTGCTATAGGGCGCGTGCACTCGACAGACAGACAGAGACAGAGAGACAGAAAGTGAGAAATCATCCCCCCAGGGGTGATGGCCACGCTGCAATCCCTTCTCCCCCATTCTCCTCTCGGGATCTTGGGCACGCACGCAGACGTGCCCGGCGTGAGTTTTAAGCCACCGGGTCCAGGACGCGAACCGCGGTCGACTACGTGGGAGTCCAGTGACATAGCCATTACACTAACTGTTGGTCCCTGGTGATGGTTTTATTATGTTTTAAAATGAAGGCTATGTTGGCCTCATATAAACATTAAGAGTTTGTGTAAATGAGCCGACTTTTGTACTCTTATCTCTATTTTGAGACAGGGTAGTATTTAGATAGTAATAGTCCTGATTGTGTGTGAAACAACATGGATACTCTTAGGATTAGCTAAGAATCACTGTAGAGGGTGAAATTCCTCCAATATTCTGAGGGCAGAAACAACGTAATTTTGTTCATAGTAAATTGGTTTAATTTTATGGCTAGGGTGACCTAAAAAATGTGAAAGAAGTTGCTAGTTGCCTCACAAGGCATCATTCTCCTTTTGACTCGTCTTAAAATTTGTTAGTGGGGGAGGCCAGCAGGCAGTGTGGTGGTTAAGGCGCTAGACTTCCTCCATGGCTGACTGTGGTTCAAGTCCTGGAGTTGCTTTCTCACTTCTATCTCTCTCTCTGGTCAAATTAAAAAATAATTAATTAATTAATTTAATAAATAATTCTTTTTTAAAAATTGCCAGAGGAAAGGCCAGCAGGTGTCATGGTGGCTAAGGACACTGAATCCCATACAGCTGACTGTGGTTCAAGTCCTAAGCCTGGCAGCTTGCTTTCTCACTTTCTCTCTCTCACTCTCTCTCTCTCTTTCTCCCTCTGTCCCTCTCTGGTCAAATTAAAATAAATAAATAAGAATAAAAGTTAAATCAAGTAATTCTTAAAAAAAAAATTGTCAGAGGGTACCTGCACTTGCTTGGGGGATAAGGTGGAATGAGAAAGCACCTCCATGGGTCATGGTCACACCACAATCTCTTCTTCTCCATTTGTACCTCCTTTTGGGAGTTTAGACAGGCACACACACACACACACACACACACACACACACAAGCACCTGGTGTATTTTTCAAACTGCCAGGTTCAGGGCTTGAACTACATGGCTGACTAGGTGGAATCTAGCCACCTCAGTCATCGCACTGTGAGCTGGCCCACCTTTTGATTGTTAGTTAGATATGATGATGCCTAGCTAAAGCATATATATGTGTGTGTGTGTGTTGTGTATGTGAGTACATGTGTGTAAATTTTTTTAGAGGTTTTTGTCATAAGGCATGTGCGCTCACTGGAGAGAGACAGAGACTGTGAGAGGGAAAGTGAGAAATCACCCCCTTCCCAGGGGGCATAGCAATGCTGCAATCCCTTCTCCACCATTCTCCTCCTGGGATCTTAGGCACACGCACACATGCACACAGCGTGAGTTCAAGCCATCAGGTCTGGGATTCAAACAGCAGACACATGTTGCCTAGGGTCTGGTTTTTCTATGCACTG